TCACATTATTGCAGAAAGTGCATTATAATCATTGCAACACTGTTTTACTTTGTAAGTATAATGAATGCACGGAAATGCTTCGTAACGTCTGTTACGTTAAACCAGCTGTAAAATTTGGAGGCGGTAACCTCGTGGTCTGGGGGTCGTTTTCCTGACAATGAAGCCACGGCTGTCGTTTATGTCCAAGAAACCATGATACATGGACAAGAACAATTTAAAAATATTTTATACTGATTAATTTTTCCTTATGACATTTTTAACGAACTTCGTTCGAGCTTTTCAGTTTGAGTGCCAAAATTTGTAAACATTTCAACTACTTAACACGATTTTTTAAACTAAATGCTTAAGAAATAATTGGCCTGATACCCCATAGTCGTCGTACTAACCTTGATACATCAAGGAGAGCACTAATAGGGAAATAACTTTAATTTCATAATAAAAAAATTTAAAAAAATAACCTCCTCGAATCGATTGGCTTCAGACCACGTTAAGTTGAGATCCTCTTACAGATTTCAACTGGCAATTTCCGTAAGTACCGTAGTCAATGAGATATTCGTATATACCTGGTGTATGGCGAGTCTTCATTCCCTTAAGTTTATATTTTTCAAAAACGTTTACAACGCGACTCGATCGATGAACTTTATAACTCGTCACTGCTTCTGTATTATCTTTCCCAGAATCAAACTGGCAATTTGGCTGTACAATAAGTCTGTTCACTTGGACGACAGTACTCTAATAGTTTATTATAAACTTTTACCACATAATCTGACGATTAATAGCAAAAGATAATATTCACAACTGGATAAATTAAAAGCAATCAGAAAAACAATGACCATCGCTCGTATTTATTTAGAAAAAGGGTTGTTTTACATCACGATGACCCTTGTGTTTACCGACGGGATAAAAGATTTGCTGAAACGTTCTATCTCATCTGATTTTTATTTACCTTGTACAGAGAACAATTCTCTAAATGCAAAATTTAAAGAAACGTTCAAATTACCCGAAAGATAACAGAAGATCAAGTTCTATATAAGTTCAACAGTATTTAACATTTTTATAAAGTAACGCGGAAGGACTCATTACACAACCTAATCGTTTCGTAATCAATTAGACATTTCTGTCTGTACGTATATTGTTCGAAGCGACACGATTCCATCGAATTAACTTCAGACCCCAAATAAGTCGACATCTGCTATCGACTCCGTATTATCATTTCCAGACCCTAACAGCCAATTAAAATGTATTATCGTTTCATCCGTGAGCGTATATCGCGCAGAAACGTCAGCAAAATTATTCGATTCTCTAACTAGATTGACTACCGGTTCTGAAACAAATCGTTATCCTTCCTGAACTCCTACAGTCTCATTATCGTAACGAAAAGGACACAACGTTCACCTGATACTAGTTCTCTCCGAACTTTCGTCCGTGAGTGTGTATCGCTACGAAACGTCAACAAAGTCGATTCTACCAATGGTGTAAAACTCTGTCCGGCCATTCGGAGCTCGAAAACTGCATGCACGTCGAGGAACACCAACAAACCAGTGCACAGAAACGAAAGAAAACTACGTAGGAGAGAAAGAATCGAGCAAAGAACGAAAGAAGGCTCGGCGGGCTCGTTAGGGGGGCAGAGAAACGGCACGGAGAAAATCAGGATAAAGGAATACCTGGCCGGGAGGAAGTTGGCCCGCGTCGCGCGCGCGCGTCCTCGTGGGGCGTGAAACACTTGAAAATCCCGGTTATGCAAAACATAGGAAAACGGCCCTCCAGGCCAGGACGTTAGGTGGAACACGTAATTGAAAGCACTTTAGAGACCCTACGGCACGCACAACGAGCACTCGCATTTGCATTCAGTGGCAGAGGGAATGCCTTTTAACCGAAATGACTGCGTGTATATGACAAACGCCAGGTTTATGTGCCGGAACGATGGGAATATTTATTGGCGCGAATTAATGTCTCCACTCGTCCGTGCCCGAGCGTTATATTTATTGGGACATTTCGTGTGCCGGGCTACGAGCCCGCGCCGTCGAATAACCCTCCCCCCTACCCCCTCACCCCCTCACGGGCCATTCTGGAACGACGGGAAAGGATACCGAAAAATCTCGCGACGGACTGATGCCTTCTTCGTGTTTCTGTCTTCTCGACTCGCGACACGGACCAATCGTCAACGTATCTTCGACCGATAATATTTCTCGCGGTTGACTTTAAAGCTCCATAAACGCGGGCTACGCGTTCCTCCACGGTGTCCTTCTCGATAAGAGCTTCCAATAAATCTCCCCTAGCTCGGGGCAATCCCGCGACCAGCGAAAGACCATCGTCGTTCTTTTCGTCCGCGGGCGATCGAAAAGCGTGGAAAGGTATAGCAAATTGGAAGAACTCGTAAATCAACCACTCAGAGAACGCATGCAAGAGTAGGCACACAAGAGTCCGAACGCACACGCCGGTTTTTCGTCACGAAAGACAAATTTTTTTGTTTTTTTTTTAAATTTCGTTTACCTGATGGAGATCGCTTGACATTTCATCGGTTCTTCGAGGATTCGTTTAGCGACGTCGAAACGAAAAGCTTCATTGGACGAACACAAGCAAGAGGTATCGAGAGTTGAATAAAAAAAACACACTTGGACTGCTCTTAATTAATATACATATAATATATATATATATCAATATATATATATTCGAAAGTAACCACGGCGACTCGTTGCCGTGGCGAACGTATGTACATGTACACAGATTTTGCGACTTAAAGACTTCACGGATTACGGATTATCGGGTAATTTGTACAAAGCTTCTTCATCGTTTGCGCTCCGCCTTGTCTCTTTTCGTTTTAGTTCTTTTTCTTTTTCTCGTTCTTGCGTGCTCGTATGCACGAGAAGACGCGGGACGGGAACGGGGAACGATTCTTTTTCGTTCGACGCGATTCTTCTCAGCGCCGCTCGCTGTAACGCGACGTTTTAGAACGAAGCCTGCGGTTTGCGATCGACAATCGCATTTTCACATCGCCGTATTAGGCTGTAACATAAATAAGGTTGCATAAGCACGTTCTAATTCTGAGAATACGTGATTGTAAACTATTATAAATAATAGTGGAATGTAATTCTGTGCTCTGTTAATAAATAAAAGGAGACTGTTATTTATGGTACAGCCCAATGTGTGACCGCAGTAAAATAAATGCACATAATTTCGACATTGGCCCAATCGTCGACACGGTCAATTATTTAATAATACGATTATTATCCGTTAAAAGCATATTATTCCTATCTAAAGTGAAACTTACGAATTTACTTCAATTTTTATTTCTTTTCTCTCTCGTCAGAATGAAATCGCAAAATAAATGAAAGAAAATGTTCAGCCGCCAAGTCATAATGATCGAGTTTTCGAAAACAAGCATGTTTCAATTTTAAAAATAAATGTCAAGAAATGTGTCCAATACGATCTTCACTATATCGTCGAATACTCGAACATTGATACAACAAAGACTAAACAAGTACAAGTCGAATATTTCAGAATTTAAATATAAAATAAACTATTACTTTGAGAAAAAAGAATGAAAGATTGTGTTCCATAGAATGTTCTATCATCCAATAGCATAAACAGAAAATAATACCCTGCGTTTTCGAAGTCACAAGTGTCAAAAATGGTGTCGATAATTGGGACATTTACAATGATGGAACGTAAGATCGTTCCTTTGGATTCTTTTAAACAAAACGGAGCTGGTTCCAATCGTAACTCAAAGAAAATTTGACGTCGATCGGATCTATTAGAACGGTATGTTTCGCGTCGCGGTTACAGCGAGCAGATTTTTCCGCATCCGGTTGGATCTCTGCAGAGAGAATCCAGCCGTTCTCCGTTCTTTCCCGGCGCCGCAGATCGGTCGCGATTAATCGATCCCCGCGAACGAACGTCACGACAGACACGCGTTACAAAAAAAATTTTTTTTTTTTCGTCCATCCTGAACGACATCGAAATTCGTGGGTGAAGAACCAAGGAGTCGGTCTAGGATATTGAAACGAAAAAGGACGCAAGGAATAACGACAATCGTAATAATTATAATAATTACAATAATAATAATGAAGATGATAATAATAATAATAAAAAGTCATATTCGCAATAATATAATAATAATAATAATAATAATAGTAAATAGTTTTTTTATGGTCACTGCATGATAAACATAATACTAAATACCGTTAATGATAATGTTCCTCGTCGGGTCACGGAGACGTTTGACTTCTGATACTCAGGGGGGATGGACGAACTTTTCTCGCGTGACCGAGAAGTGACAGGGTTTTATGTACAAAATGGGTCGGTGGAGGAATAAAGGGGGGGGGTGGTGTATGGGTGGTTGGTGGTGAGGGGGTAATCAACGACCAATCTACAAGCTTCTCCCACTCACGCATACGAACACACAGTTTTATATCCGTCGAACACCGATAGGTTTCGCAGGACCAGCTTCTGAGATGGTTCAGCGATATGCACAATAAATACTGCTCCTTTTGTCTACCATTCTTTGTAATCGATATGCAACCACGGGTTTGTTCGTTTCTACGCGATCGTCTGACGTCCAAACGTTCCGACGCGTCTCTTTGTACACACACACGCAGTGACTCTCGTTCTCCCGCGCTTCGTATCTCTCGCATTCGTAATATTTATTTACTATTCGTGTCCGCTCGTTAACTTGGGAATGATATCGCGCGACGAAATACTCGCTGCGTTTTCGAGAACGATGGACACACCCGACGGACGTCGAACGAGACGTCGTTTGTAACCGGTAGAGAGAAAAAAGAAATATTGCTAACGCGGAAAATATAATACACGTGTCTCTCTTGTACGTTTCTCTGTATATATGTATATATAATACTTCATACGTATGCATAACATGTATATAAATATATATATATATATATATACACAGTTACGCGAAACCGCGACACATCTAGTCCTGGCGTTACTACTCGAATCACTTCTATACACCTCTTCCGTTTCCCGTTCCAATTTTTCTTCTCTATTCTCACGCACTTACTGCCGACCCCTTCTCTCTCTCTCTTCTCTCTATCATCCCCTTTTACATCCCTCACGGGTATACCCTGGATATTTCTTTCTTGCACGCGTGCTACGTCGTGCAGCGTTCGTTTATCACAGTAAGGTTTTATCGTTTCGCGGTGTTCTCGTCTTCTTTTCTCTATTTTCGCGCGCGGGTCGCGATACTCGCGTCGAGACGGATCCGTTGACGTTCGCACGCTCGATCGATCGATCCCTTTCGTCGATCGCCGCGAGTTTCTTACGCGACGCAACGAGAGCTCCTCGGCAAGGAGGGGAACAAAACGAAGACGCGTGTCGTCGACTAGCGATCATCTCTCTCACTCACTCATGCACTCACTCATTCACTCGCTCACCGACTCTTTCTCTCGTGTTTCGCGAAAACGCATCTCCATTCGCACCCGTTTCTCACCCGCGTCGTCGCGTCGACGGAAAAGGAACGCTCTCCAACGAAACGAGGGTCGAAGAACGTGGGGGCTGCAGGAGCGTCGATTCGTCGCAAGCTTCGGGAACAACCGGAAGGTCTTGCACGCCCGGTCGCGGATGACACATTTCTCCGGGAATCGTTTGCTGCGGTTAGACGGTATTATATACACAATTTCGCGCGTGTCGCTTGTATTTTTTTTTTTTTTTTTTTCCTTTCTTCCATCGGTGTACCTGATCGTCCAAATCGTTTCCACGGAACCCGTCGCTGCTCTCTAGACGCGTACGCAAAATGGCGTCCGAGTCCTCGACGTTGGATCCGCGCCGTGTCCAAGACCGTTCTCGTTTTCTTTCGATCTCGATTAATTTCCTCTCTTCTTCGGTCGGTGAAATTTTCTCCCGAGGTTGCGAGAAATCGTTTGCGATCTCACCTTCGGCCCCCACGCCTCCGAGTTCGCTCGATTTCGCAATCGTTTCGCGTTCGTTCTCCCTTTCTCCGTCATTTTTCTTACAAGGGAGTCCTCTCCCACGCGTACAGCCGTCCGTCCAAGCTTGTCACTCTAAGCTATCCTACGAGGTTATGGTTTTTGCGTTAGGTTTCGAGGGTGGATGCAATTATTTTTTTTTTTATTTGTACTTTTTTTTTTATATCTTTTGAGGCGTCGGATAGGATGAGTCAGAAGAAAGCTTCGCGGAGGCCCGAGATTTCGTTTCACCCGTTCCCCCTCCTGGGATCGATCGATCGATCCTTCGAGAAGTATTCCATCGTCGACGACGACCAAGGTCCTCCGTCCTGACGCGAACGTTCGCGAGCGTACGTTTTTCGAGAAATCGGATGCAACCACGGGTTAGAAACTCGAAGAATCACGGAAAAACTACGAGGAGATCGACGATATCCCGATGATCGAGCGCGGAGGCAACGAAAAATGGCCGACGAGGTTTTCTCTTGACTCAACCTATAGACTCGACGTTTAGACTCAACGTTTGTCGCCGAGCGACCGAAGGGAAAGCGAATACAAGGTGTCCCGCAATGGACGATACGATCTAGAAGAGTTCTGAATTTCTGTACACAAAAGTAAATTGAAAAAAGTGTATAAAATCGTTTCGAAAAGAATCAATCTTGTCACTATCGTGGTTCGGGTCACGCGGTGCGATTTATCGAAACTCGATTCAACGAATTCGGTTACACGCGTCTATTATATTTAAACATAATATTTCAAAGTAACAACTTGGTAATCTTCTCAAAAAGTAAACCGCGTTATCGATGCAATTTTTCGTATTCATTGCGGGACACCACGTATTCGCGGCCGAACGAAACAAACGTTGAGCGTAAACCGCTCGAAATTCCCTACGTTCTGGACCCTGAGAACAAATCGCGCGGAAAGCAATTAGAAACCGACGAACGAGAATAGAAAAGTACGGATGCAAAAAGACGTTTCGACAGACCGAGAAATCTTTCCTCGCTGTTCGAGGAACCGTCTCAAGACGAGAACCGAGGAACGACGAGGAAAGAGAAAATGGAGTTACACGCAGCACGAGGAGCAAACAAAGCTGTCGCTTCGGCGTCGTGCCGCTCACACCACGTCGAACGTAGTTTCTCTGTTTGCCTACCGCGTCGGTCGACCATCGTCGAAGAACGTTCCTCGTAAATCTTCCTAAATATCGTTCGCGCGCGACCCGATCGCGTTCCCTCGACGAATTAATCTCGCCGCGGCGAGATTTTTCAGTCGTTTATCAAGCGCGTCGATCTCGAGTCTTCCAACCTAACCGTGACAGCGAATACGCGAAGAACGGCGACGCCCTTTCTCGCGAAACGAGTTCGTTCAAAATGTTAATTGTTCCCGGGCAAGATTGAGCGCGACGATCGAGGACAGAGGCTCTAGAAGTTTCTCCACGGAGGTCTGAGCTTTCTGGCGATCGATGGAGATTAAGGATGGATCAACGGACTAGCGCCGCTTCCACGGGGACTAACTGGCTTATGCGTTTTGCTCGATCGACTCCTCGGACAAGGGTAACTACGCGTTATGTATATCTCGTTACTTAACGATGATGAAATCTACTTGCAAGGGACTAGGGTGTTCGGATGTCGGTGCTAATTGTCACGTACTCGGGATTAATCGTAGGGTCCAGAAGTGGAAATGTCGTCGCGATGGTGTTAGTAGCAAGCAAACGCGCGGGTGCGCGCGATTAGAAAGCGCGAAGAGTTTCAGAGTGCACGAGGCGAACGACTTCGAGGATCGGGGAACCGGTGATCTCGGAGTCGTTCGCGTCGATGCGTGCTCGACGCTCGAGTTGAAACGTTTCGTTAGAAAATTGGAAATACGTCCAACTCGAACGCCTCAAACGAGAAGGATAAACCGGCTACTCGACTCGAAAACAGCCAACTATAACGATTACTATACAAAGATTTAAAAAATCACGCGATACGAGGACGGATGATGCAGCTCTTAAACGATCGCTCGCGTAACCGAGGTTTATCCTACCCTCAAAAGTAAAGGATTCGGGGGGGAACGCCAATCGAAGCGTCGCTCAGACTATCGATCTTCCGGTTGAAACTCGATAGAAAGCGTTATTTCAATTTCTACGGTAGTCTGAGCGAGCCCTCGAAGGTCTGGGTAGTCAAATAAGTAGTATGCAAGTGAAATCGGCTTACATATGAGTGAGAGGCGGAATGGCGGAGTGATGCTGCGCGAGCGGATCCGGCGAGGGTCCCGGCGAGTAGACACCGGCACCGTGTTGCACGACCCCCTGCTCGACGCCCTGCGGCAAATACATCGAGATCATCTGTCTGAGGTCGCCCTGGGACTGCTGCGTCTGCTGCTGGCCCATGTATTCCCGTTTCACGACCTGGCCACCGGCCCCGGACGTCGACGACGCTCCTGTGGGCGTCGGCGTGTGAATGCCGCCGCTCGCCGGACTCGTTGGCTCCGATTTTATGCTGCTACCGCTGGGACTGTGACTCGACATCTGAGAGCCGGGCTGGGCTTGGTGATAGGGCGACGGCGAACCGCCGGGCACGGTGGTGCTCCCGTAGCCACCGTAACCGTTCATGTAGCTGTTGATGGGACTGGGACTGCCACCGCCCATGTGGTGACCCATGTCGTACCTTGGGTAACCGGCGGCCGAGGCTGCTGCCGCCGCCGCCGCCGCGCCGCCCATGTGACCGCCGTAAGCGACGTGCTGCTGGTACGCGGCCGTCGGGTCGTGCATCATGTAACCGTTGGGCATATAACCGTTGGGCATCTGGTAAACGTCGCGCGACAATTGCGCCTGTTGCGGGCCACCGGTAGCGCCGACTTGCCGTTGATCGACCCCCAGCATCCCGCCTACTCCCGTTACACCTCCGCCCAGCGGGAACTTGTCCTTCTTGAGCAGCGTTTTGGTCTTGCGTCGCGGCCTGTACTTGTAGTCGGGGTGCTCCTTCATGTGCACGGCGCGCAATCGTTTCGCCTCGTCGATGAACGGACGTTTCTCGGTCTCGCTGAGCAGCTTCCACTCGGCGCCCAACCGTTTCGAGATCTCCGAGTTGTGCATCTTCGGGTTCTCCTGCGCCATCTTGCGCCGTTGACCGCGCGACCACACCATGAACGCGTTCATCGGCCTCTTCACGCGGTCGATGTTGTTGTTCTTGCTGGTGTTGTTGTTGTTATTGGGCGGTTGATGGTGCTGCTGCGGTTGCGGCTGTTGCTGCTGCTGCTGGTGAGGATGGTGCTGCTGCTGTTGTTGGCTGGCCGCCTGCTGCGCCAAAGAATGCATGCTTTGCTGCTGTTGCTGCTGTTGTTGTTGCTGCTGTTGCGCTGCCTGCATCGACGCGTAGTGATGCTGGGGCGTCTGGTGATGGTGCTGGAGACCGAGGCCCAGGCCGCCGGTGCTCGGCGGACTACCAGACAGCGCTGGACTGTGCACTATCGAGCCGAGGCTACCATAAGGCGAGACCCCCGTATGATGGCCCATCGGCGATACACCCTGATGTGGGTGCGGTGGCATCTGACCGTGCAGACTGCCACCCTTCATGTCCGTCTCCATCGTGAGCATGTCTTCCTCCCTGTGCCCGTACAGCTTGCCGCCCTTTCCTGGTACCTCTCGACGTCAAGAAATTCGACGAAACGCCGAGATTGTGGAACGGTCGAACCGTTCCTCCGGTCGAGTCTTGATAGACCTAACCCGGTGCTCCACCGCGTTTGCGATGAACCGGCGAACACTACGCGACCACGAGTTCGCTCGAGTCTCTACGAGCCTGTGACATGGAAGCCAGCTCGATTTTCCTTTTTTCTCCGAGTCCGCACCACTTGTTGGAATTTCAGCGACACACCACTGACGCACTGTTTCACTCTCTGTATAATATAGAGTACGTCCTTCCTATCTCCCTTTTGTCTCGAAAACAAAAATAAGAGTCACCGGTATAAATCCTTGCACGACCGGCCGTCACCGTACGACGTACACCGAATAAATCTATCAACGACAGTCAATCGAGCACACGATCACCGCGCACTGTACGACTCGTAGAATCCACGACGCATTACTGCCGCCAGATTCCGAGAATTCTGTCCTACGTAAGAGGGTACGAGGCAAGTTTCTCGATGTTTGGTATGTATCACGAAAAGTCACCGTGGCTCCGGTTCTCTGGTCACAGTACACACTCGGCTACTTCTCATATCAACACGGTTCTCGCGACAACTTCTCGACAACGGTCCGCGATTCCACGGCAGAGTCCGACCGAGAACTGACGCACTGTCACTTTCTTCCCCTGTAAGCGCGCTGCGTGTCCTCACCGTCTCCCTCTCTTGCACCGTCTCTCTTTCGAAACTCGATGGCTCGCTCGTGACTGGCTGCGGGCTCGCGATACGCTCGACGAATCGGATCGCGACGATCCTCGGATACGATCCTCGGAATTTTTCCCTCGGGACCGTGGAAAAGCTCCGTGCACACCGCGTTTCTATATATCACTGCTCCGACACCGGCGGACCGTACGATCCCAATACGCGTCGAGATGATCCCGTCGTCACCACTCTGTCCACGATTATTCCTCGTTCCGCGCGATGGTGAACGCGTGTTGCTGCTATTGTGTACCGTTGCGCGTGACATGCGCGCGTCCTTTCATTCGCCCAGTGCTCTCGTAGCGGCCGTCGATACGCCGGCGAACGTGCACGAACGTCGACGAATACGAAGGACAAGAAGTGGAACAAGTAGCAGCGACCTCCACTCTCCACCGAAGAACGGAACCGTCTGAGCATTTGTGGATTTCGCCTTGGGGTCCCACTCTCGGGGCTCACTTCCTGCCGAGGCGGCTGTCCCCCTCTCTCTGTTTCACTCGCTCCGCGCTCGTCGCCCCACCCTGCCCGCTTACCCTACCATTCTCGAAACCAGCAACCATACCCAACAGGCCGACGGACCAGACCCGAGCCTACCGACGGCAATCGATTGGCACGCGAGCCTGCCATCATTTCTCTCGACCAATCGCGCGACTCTCACTGCCACCGAAGGCGGCGCCATTACGCCGTGACGTCATCCCAACAACCCCGACGACCTCTCGCGGCGACGCTTTCACCCCCTCCCCGACAGTTGGTTACTCTCGTCTCTCTTACCCATACGTTCCCAACCTACCGTCTCTCTCTGTCACGGGTTCGCCTCTCCGCCTTGTGTGTCCACGCGTTCCTCTCCAGCCGATGCTGCGCCAGGTCGCCAGTGTTTCGTCCACGCGTTCTTCTATCCCGACACACACTCGCCCGCCCCTCGACCCCCGCAACGTTTCGCGAACCACGAACTCTAGGCTCCTCCGCGAATTGTCTTCCCCGTAGTCGCATCGCGTCGTTTTCTCCGCGCTCCACGCGCTCTCGCCTCTTTCCTTTTCTATCCTCAACCCACCCCCTCGCCCCTTCTGTACCAGCGTCCCTCTCCTGTTCGTGTCGCGAGAGATTCCGCCTTTCGCGCGGGTCCAGTGACCTTCGAATTTCGCGGACCAACGTGCCACGGCGGGAGGGGATTTTTCGAGATTGTCTCGCGACGCGGGGGTTGACGATCTCGATCACCTTCGCGCTCGGTGTGTCACGGGGGGGAAGGTAGGCGAGATCGGTCCCGCGACCATCGATCGTCTCAGCGAATTAGGGGCGTTTAAACGAAACGCGGTAAAGGGTAAATGGCGTTGCAAATGTTTGCGATCGGATACGCCGGGGAACTGTTCGTCGAACAAACAATGCCACTCGATGCTTCGCCTCCGGAGCGCGCAAGTGAATTCTAATTGCGCAACTATTTATATCTTATCGCCTTTCTCCCGTGCGTCGAGCTTTCTTTCTAGATTGCTATTTTTATGACCGTTCGGGAGAACTTCGATACGACTGCGATTAATTCGATCGGTGAAAATAAAAATTCTCTATCTTGGTTCTTCGATCGATTGTTCTATTTGGTTTTAACCTTTCAGGTTGACAAATATAAATGAACTTGAGTTTACGGTGCTCGACTCTCGAGGCTGAGGCTCTTTACACTATAGATAACAATGTCATCGCTTGCACTGACATGCACCCATGCGCATACAAACGTTTTATTATTATTGTTTGGTCGTAATGAAGTTTATACGTTTATAAAATCTATACGTTGATATTTTTGTCAAGTGGTAGATGATTTGGTCCTATTCCCACCTTACTAAATTAGTGCCTAGTTAGAGTCATATACGTATCTATTGCAAGCGTTGATAACCGTTACTTGCGTCGAGAGCATAATCCGAAGATGTATAGACGTCTATCGATCACGCTCGAACAGACGTTGAAAAGGTCTGTTCCAAAATAGTCTCGACACGGAGTTTACGTTTCAAGGCCAATCCGTCCGACGAAATTCTTTTCCTTTGTAACGGAGTCTCCGGATTAGCATCCTTTGCTAGCGAAACGATTACCCCGATTCGCGTTTGGATCGTCTCTTTCGCGACGCGCCGTTATTCGTCCGGTGGGTTTGAAAACGCATAGATTGGCCCATCGTCCTACCGATTGCTCGCGTCAGAGGCATTTTTCGCCGCCGCGCGGAGCAAACTACCGAGTTAATTTGCCAGGGTTGCGGGAGAGCTCGTGTCGCGCGTTCGTCGTATTCAAATCTCCCATTATATCCGGTCGACTTGACCCATTTTCCTCCTTGTCTCGTTTCCTCTCTCTCTCCTTTTTTCCTCTCCATTCATTCTCCCCGTTCCTTCGGTCCTCTCCTCCGCGTCTCTCGTTCGTGAAATCCACAAAGAGGCTCACCAGCCGTTCCTGAAAGAACCACCATCGGCCGATGCGACTCCGTTTAAGCGGGTTCCTGCGTAGGACCTGTTGCCGCGGCTCACGGACAGACGAGGAGGGAGTTAGAATCGGCGCGGCGAGAGAAAGAGCCGGGACGCATAATGGAAGAACGCGTCATAGATAATCGTAGCGCAACCCCGGCGTGCCTCGTGCGTCAGCGACAATGAAAGTAACGGCGGCCGGGTTGGAATCCTATTCGAGCCGTTCAGCGCCGTTCACTTCCGAATGGGAGTCGCTCTTTTCTCATTTTTTTTTTTCTCCTTTTTTTTCTCTCCTCGCGGAGCCACCCTTCTTGAGAACGGGCTTTTCTTCGGTACGGAATTCTACGCGGGGCGCACCGACGTCGCGGAAGAAGTTTAAACGTAAATTGAAACGCGGCTTTTTAATCGCAGTTGCGATTCGTTTTCGCAGGTACCCGCCAGGTAAACACGTTGCATTGAAAAGCGACTGTTCGCCATTAAAATTGCACTTAATTTTTCCGTTCTCCGTACTTCTCACTGTTTTCTTTAATTTTATATACCGATGACATTATTTATAAAAATTGTTCGATTTTAGTTATTGGTACCTACCATGATATTACCGAACGGGTTTCTTTTATATATTTACTTCCGTGTTCCGTGAAACTTTCACTTCGTAAGTGTCTATTCTTCTTTAGATATATTTCTTTTATTCTTCGTTTAATATTTGTTTCCTCTTGTTACGTACGGTTTACATATTTAACACATAGAAAATCAAAATACTTATTAAACAAATACAATATGTCAGTATGTCAGACTAAGAAACACGACATACTGCATGTAAAATATTTTGGATATATAATAAATTCTTAGTGGCTATTCAACATGAGTTTTGTTACTTTAGGAAAAATAATCTTCTACTAAATGTTAATTTTACTTTTCTTCGTCAAATATTAGAACGAACTTGAAGGAGAGAACCAAAAGTGAAACCTACTTTCTAATGAATCATCCCTTGAATTACAGGTCTCGATGAGCTGTTTCAAAAACATCTTTCTTTGGGCGAATAATCCTATCTATTCGTATTCGGCAAAAACAACGTTAAAAGTAAAATTTCCAGTTTATGACGCTAAAATATTTACACGCTTTCATTATATTACTGTTAGTTTTGGTATTGTTTTGCGTGGTTCTCGAAATTAGATTTAGAAACTGCGAATCAGATGCTTCTTATCTGTTTCATATGCTTTATTGCTACAAACTTTGTGTAATACAGATATTAAATAAATTAGCGAATACGTAACAGGTCTTACTATAAGAAGAAACAACAGTACAAGATGTAACTCGATATAGTGTAGTACCTCTTATCCGATTCTGTTTTAATCGATCACCATTCCAACAGATTATATTTTTGTTTACACATCAGTGATTGACAACTCAAATTTCAATCGAGGAAATGAATTACATTCTTCAGATTTAATTTAAAGATAACATAAAAGGAAAGTCTGAATACAAAATTTAAGTCTCGAGTTCTGTAGTTGAATATAGAAATTCAATTTTTACGTAGGGGTCATACAAGTTACGATTTCTAAAAGAAAAAAAAGTGATTGATTTACGGCTTCTTGTATCGTGTGTAGGCCCTATCTAATGTTTTAGAACTATATTCTTAGAAAGTTAATCTTTTGCACTCCGCTCATAACTCGCTTCAAATTTTATCCGTGGCAATGGAAACTAAATTAACGAAATGAATTAATAATGAAAAAGAAATCTTTTGATTTTCAGAAGCGGTGCCGCAAAATTGTCATAAAGTTACTAATCACTATTAAACAAATTCCTAAAGGGCAAAAGTGTTAAAGTTTAAGAAATTGTAAAAATAATAGACTCGTTAACACTTGAACGAAGTTTATTGCAACTTGGAAAGACCCGTCGATTAAAGTTGGGAAAATTTTATTTACGAATAACGAACACAAAAATCCATTAATGCGTTTTAATTTTACGTAGGAAAAATTTTTATCTTAACGAATAAAATTTACCCAAGTTTGCGAAAGATTCGCTGTTGCGAATCGAAGAATACGATATAGGTGGAAGTTGCAATTATGCACGGCCGAGAATGCGGCGGCTGGTTCGATAAGCCTGCAAGGCCGTCTCGATAAGATTATCGGGATCGATAAGGAAGAGGTGCAAGGTCCCATCGGATGACTCAATCCGAGCGATCGATCGATCTTCTAATCGTGAGAGAGTTGACGCGCTCGTTATCTGCGCTCTGGCCCGATGGACGCGGTGCGTTTCCATCTCGCGAGCGGCGAAAACTCCTCGTGGCGGCTATCGGGAGACTTCCAGCGAGCCCGAACGGGCAATAAATCAAAACGGGAAAGGGTAATCAGAGGAGCATTGTGACGGGTCGCGACGAGTCAGCGTAATGAAAACCGCAAGAATGACGCTAGTGCGTCGCCGCGGCCAGGAACGACCGACGAATGACTCGTCCGAGTTGGCCGAATATTGACACCTGCTTAACGAACCTGCTAAAATTTATTGCTAATTGTGTTGGTCGGCCGCGCGCCGCGTCACAGGTACCTAGGTACGTCCGCCAGCGGCCGTAAGCGGCGCTTTTGTTTGGGGATCGATCGCCATCGGGCCTCTTGAGCGCGAGGCAGTACCTGCTTCCGCAACGAGCCAGCAAATAATAAACCAGTGCGAAAATACCTGCGCGCTACGAACCGTGCAACCTGTTAGGTTCGGGCTGCTACGACTAATTAACTGCCCAATGAGCCCCGTTTTCCTCGCCTTCGACCCGCGAAAATGTTTCTTCGCCTCGAAAACGATGCTCGTTTTGGGAAACGATAAATTATTTGGCTTCTTCTTTGGTACCGTTTAGATGTCACTCTGTGAAACCACCAGAACCAGCGAAATAATTTGCAAGATTTAAAAAAACGTGCTTTTTAATACGTACACGGAGATTTGGAGCAAAAACTAACGTTTAAATGCAATGTAAT